TCCTCCTCCTCCTCCTCATCTCTCCTCTCTCCTCCCTCCTCCCTCCATTCTGCAAACCCCACTCCTTTCTTATGTAGAATAACAGAGTTGGAAGGACCTTGGGAGGTCTTCTAGTCCATCCCCCTGCTCAAGCAGGAGAGACCCTATGGTTGTCTATTCTCTTCCTATAAACCTCCAGTGTTGGAGCATCCACAACTTCTGGTGGCAAGTAGTTCCACTGGTTAATAGTCCTCACTGTCAGGAAATTTCTCCTTAGTTCTAGGTTGCTCCTCTTAGCTTCCACCCATCCTGCCCTCAGGTGCTTCTAGCACTGGTAATGTTACCTAGTTGGGTCACGGAACCTCTGCAAGAAAACCACCAGAGAACATGAAGGACTCCACAAATAGGAGAGTGTGCCCATATTTCAGGGTTGAGATAGTTCCAGGATGAAGGTCAAGAGTCAGGGCGTTGCATCCTGGACCTAAAAGCAGAAGACCTGAGCTTTTACCTGGCTCTCAGAGTTCAGAGGTCAAGCATGGGGTGTTCCTCTATAAAGAGGCCACTTGCTTCCTTGGGCAAACTTCGGCCTAAGTTGTTCGCCCTCAACCTGGGGTTACGCGTCCCTCGGCCTTCCACGCTTCCGCTGGGCAGGCTCCAACCTTCCCGGAGAAACGGAAAAGGGCCAACTTTGAGCGGTCTACCCCTCCTCCGTCACGTTTTCCCCTCCCCCCAGGTTTGGTTCTGTGCAGGTGAGCAGAGTGGAGAGGAGGAGGGACGTGGTGGCTCAGCGGCTAAGACGCTGCACTTGCCGATCAGTAAAGGTCGGCGGTTCGAATCCCCCTAGCGCCATGTAATGGAGGGAGCTCCCGTTCCTTGTCTCAGCTTCTGCCAACCTAGCAGTTCAAAAAGCATGTAAAAAAAAAAAAAATTGCAAGTAGAAAAATAGGGTGGGAAGGTAAACAACGTTCTGTGCGCCTTCTGGCATTTAGTCCTGCCGGCCACATGGCCACGGAGACGTCTTCGGACGGGGCTGGCTCTTCGGCTTTGTAACGGAGATGGGCAACGTCCCCTAGAGCCGGAAACGACTAGCACGGGTGCGCGAGGAGGGGAACCTTTACTTTTTTACCTTTTAGAGCGGACAGGACGGCAGCCAAGAGGCTTTTTTCCTGCAAGCGTCTCGTCGGGATGTAATTATTGCCGAGCCTCTCTTGCCAAGGTTTGCCATCTGCTTGCCGCTTCAGAGTGTCCCCGGAACGACCGCGGCTCATTTCTGAGCAGGGCCAAATGTTGACCGTTCAACCCCAAAGGTCCTTTTCTCCCCCCACCCCCAGGACCTGGCCACAAGAAGAGGAGTAAAAGCCCTCGCGTCCCCGAGATGAAGAGGAAGGGGAAGGGGAAGAAGATGGCGCCCCTGAAGATCAAGTTGGGCGTGATTGGCGGGAAGCGCAAAAAGAGCAGCTCAGTAAGAGGCGCGCTTCCGTTGGGAGTTGTACGTGTGTGAATGTGAACCCTGAGCTGACCTTGGCGTTTCTGGGCAAAATTAAGCCGGGAAGAAGAGCTCTTTTTTTTTTTTTTTGGCTCTTTTTGGGGGAAAGAGACTGCCAGTCCATCTCAAAGCGAGCTAATTCCTGTGGCTGACGGCCGTTCTGGAAATTAAGCTCTTTAATTTCAATTATGCACGCCGTGCAGGTTGCCACCAGCCACCAGCCAGATGACTCTTAAGCCAGGGGTGACTTCCAACCTTGGCAACTTTTTAAGACCGGTGCACTTCAATTCCCCACAGCCTGGTTAGGGAGCTTTGGGAATTTGGGAGTCCACAGATTTAAAGACTTTGGAGTTTTCGGGGAGTTGAAAACTTTTGAGTTCAATTCTGGGAGTTGGAAGATTTTGAGTTCAGTTCTGGGCGTTGAACATTTTGAGTTCGGTTCTGGGAGTTGGAAGATTTTTGTGTTCAGTTCTGGGAGTCGAAAACCTTGAGTTTAATTTCTGGGAGTGGGTGAGTTTTGAATGTAATTCTGGGAGTTCAATTCTGGGAGTTGAAAACTTTGAATTCAATTCTGAGAATTGAAGTCCACAAGCCTTAAAGTTGCCAGAGTTGGACACCCTTGTTCTAAGCCCTGGCAGTGCTGGTGGGACCCTTGGCTTGAGATTCCTTTGATGGACTGCGGCAGAAAATTCTGGTTGCATGGTTGCGACTGCCTGCTTGTTTATAACATCCACCTTCATAGCCTTTCTTCCCATCCTTCCACCTTTGCCATGTGACATAGATCTGCATGCAGTCCCCAAGATCCAACCTCTTTTATAGCTGAACTAGGTTGGTCAATTCTGTAGTTGGTCGAACCTCTCGTAGTTGGATGGGGGTCGGGTGGAAAGCTTCTCCTTGCTTCTTTCCGCTGGCTTTTTGGGCCGTAGCTCCGAAGTTGGGGATACCCCGCCTCCCTTTCCTTCCCGTTCCCTTCCCACCGTCCCTCTTCATCTCGGCCTCTTTGTGGCTTTTTCCTAATGGAGGGCCGCTCCGGTTATGTACAGCATTTGTTTCAGAGCGACGAGGTGGCAGAACCGGAAGAAGAATCCGACCTGGACAACTCCAGTGTTCACAGTTCTTCCGTGCGTTCGGATAGTTCAGGAAGGGTCAAGAAAGTCAGGCGAGGTCGACCTGGACGAAAGAAGAAGAAAGGTGAGGTTAAGGCTATCACCTGGGGAGGTTTCTGACCTAGGCTTCCCTAAGATCACGAAGCCGAATCCTCATCCCAATCAAAACCCCTTTTATTTAGGTTGAAGGGAATTCCTCTCCGGCAAAGTCCTGGCAAACACAGTCTTTCATGATACTTCACAACCACAGACTTATTAGACTGGGAGAGTTGCCAGGCCGATAGTTTCCAAACGCCATGCTGTGGCAGATAATAATACTTGGCAAGGAGCCAGGAACAGATCTTCACCCAAAGGAATTTGAACGAATTGTCTCCTGCAACCCCACCCCACTCCTCTTTATTCCCTATGGGAGGGGCCATTCACTGTCCACCTATGCCAGTGGGAGTCAACAACCTGGTCCCTACCGCCCACAAGTGGGTGTTCCAGCTTTCATGGTGGGCGGTAGAGGTTTTGTCCCCTACTTTATAAATCACCATTACTGTGAAACCGGTGGGCGGTTAGAGAAAATTTTACTACTAACAGAGATACAAAAGTGGGCGGTAGGTATTAAAAGGTTGACTACCCCTGACCCATGCCTTTACTCATGAGTCGATCCTTGTTCCATAGCTGTTCTGTTCTTCTGGCAGCTCTGTGCATGCACACACTGGGAACAGGCTCCAGCTGCTCTTCTTCCCCACTGATCTCCGACTCTGAAGGCAGCTGGGAAATGTCCAGACGGCCCTGGCCCCGTCTCTGCCTCCGACGCAGAGCCCTCGTCCGAGCCTTCCCCAGACTCCAGGACTGGCCCAGGTTCCTCCCCAACCTCCTTCGCTGTCCGAATCTGCTGCCAGCTCAGGGCTGGCCGCAGGTGGGCCACAACAGGAGGCAGATGTAGCAAGGCCTTCTCCGATCGCCAAGGCAGGAAGGGGACACCCGATTAACTTCTAACTGACAAGGAGAAAAAAGGCATTTGTTGTTGAAAAAGGACAGACTTCCCCCCCCACCACCACTTTTGGTCCGTAGCAAGATAATGCTGGAGGGTTTCCTCTATAAAAAGGACCAGAGCAGACAGCACGTGTGGTGGGACGCCAGGGATGACCCCTCTCCCCCTTTTTTCCCTTTCTCTCTCTCCCCTCCCCCGGGTTGGCAGTTGCCGGTGAAGAAGAGGCCGACGGCTACGAGACCGACCACCAAGACTATTGCGAGGTGTGCCAGCAGGGCGGGGAGATCATCCTGTGCGACTCGTGTCCCAGAGCTTATCACCTGGTGTGCCTGGACCCGGAGCTAGACAAGGCCCCCCAGGGCAAATGGAGCTGCCCTCACTGCGTAAGCCGCTCGCCTTTCTTCCTTGCCTCTTGGCTGCACCACGGGCAACCTCTCCCAGTAGCCCCCCCCCCTCTCCCAACCCTCCAGTTGGATGTGGTGGGATTCACATTTTTTAACAACTGGTTCTGTGGGGGTGGCTTAGTTGGTGGGCGTGGTTTTGTTGGTGGGGGTGGCCGGGTGGTCATGTGACTTCAGTGGGCCTGGCCATGTGACTTGGGTGGGCGTGGCTAGACAGCTATGTGACTTGGGTGGGCGTGGCCAAGTGGCCATGTGACTTGGGTGGGTGTGGCCAGGTGGCCATGTGACTTGGGTGGGCGTGGCCAGGTGGCCATGTGACTTGGGTGGGTGTGGCCAGGTGGCCGTGGCCAGGTGGCCATGTGACTTGGGTGGGTGTGGCCAGGTGGCCGTGTGACTTGGGTGGGTGTGGCCAGGTGGCCATGTGACTTGGGTGGGTGTGGCCAGGTGGCCATGTGACTGGGTGGGCGTGGCTAGACAGCTATGTGACTTGGGTAGGCGTGGCCAGGTGGCCATGTGACTTGGGTGGGCGTGGCCAGGTGGCCGTGTGTCTTGGATGGGCGTGGCCATGTGACTGGCAAACCAAATACAAGTGGGCATCCAGCCCTCCTTCCCTGCTTTGCCTAGAGATGCATCCAAACCCCCTGGGAAATTGGGATTTCTGCTGAATGACTGCACCCGGGCGGATTCCCGTGGGTGTGCCTGGTTCCTTTAGGAAATTGGGGTGGGTGGGCCAGGGAGGGTGGAAAGGAAGGGACTGTGGAGTGAGGGGGGGGGGGCTGCTACGTGCACAGGCACACGGAGACGAGCTGGGGTTTCAGGAAGGACACCTGTCTGCTCAGGTGCCTCGGGGTTCCCTGCCTTTGGGTTGTCCCTCCTAGCAGGGGGTTGGACTAGAAGACCTCAAAGGTCCCTTCCAGCTCTGAGGTTCTGTTGGCTTCTGGAGTCATGGGTGCTCCATCCCTGGAGGCTTTCAAGAAAAGACTGGAAAGCCATTTGTGGGAAATGGTGGAGGGCAGGGATCTTCAAACTTGGCAAGTTTAAGACTTGTGGACTTCCAGCTCCCAGAATCCCTGAGCCGACATGACTGGAGGAGGAATTCGGGGAGTTGGGGGTCCACAAGTCTTAAAGCTACCAAGTTTGAAGACTCCCGGGGTAGGGTCTCCTGCTTGAGCAGCGGGTTGGACTAGAAGACCTCCGAGGTCCCTTCCAGTTCTGTTGTTCTGTTATGTTTCTGCCCTGCGAAGGCGTCTCTCATCTCTACAGTACGGGTAGTTCCTTGACTTACAGCCGTTCAAGGTTACAACGGCATTGAAAAAATGCGACTCATGGCCGTTTTTCCTGCTCGCATATGTTGCACCATCCCTGTGGTCACGTGATCAAAACCCGGACGCTTGGCAACCGATTCGTATTTACAACAGTCGCAGCATCCCCCCCGGGGGGTGGGGGTGGGGGAAGCGGGTCACGTGATCCCCCTTCTGCCAGGCAAGGTCAGTAAGGAAGCCGGATTCCTTTAACAGCGGTGCGACTGTGTTAAACCACGGCAGCCATTCGCTTAACAACCGTGATAAGACAGGTGGTCGAAATGGGGACAAAGTTCCCTTCGCCTCCGTCTTGCTCCCTGATGGGAATTTTAGGCTGAACCTAAAAGGGTCGTAAGCCGAGGACTACCCGTAAAGAGGGAGAGTCATGCTGGGGGCCTGCAGAGATCTGGAACCGGATCTCTTTTAAGCAAAGGTCAAGGTTCCCCTCGCGCATCCGTGCCAGTCGTTTCCGGCTCTCCGTTGCAAAGCCGAAGAAGAGCCAGCGCTGTCCGAAGACGTCTCCGTGGTCCTGTGGCCGGCAGGACTAAACGCCAAAGAAGGCGCACGGAACGTTGTTCCCTTCCCACCAAAGGGGTCCCTATTTTTCTACCTTCCATTTTTAAAAAATTTGCGTGCTTTCGAACGACTCGGTTAGCAGAAGCCGGGACAAGGAACGGGAGCTCACTCCGTCACGGGGCGCTAGGGATTCGAACCGCCGAACTGCCGACCTTTCTGATCGACAAGCCCAGCGTCTGAGCCACTGAGCCTCCCTCGGATACTCTTTATATCGAATCCTGAATTCTAGCAAGTGGTTCTGGACC